AGCCCATACATATCTTATGAAGGAAGATGATGCTGACACAATCACCTTACCTCCAATTGACCCGATAGCAGCGGTGCCAGCTAATCTGGATACAGCCTTTAGTAAAGCCACGAAATCACAGACACCACATGTGCCGCATTTCAACGCTAACAAGTTTGCAGGTCACAACATGGACCCTTTTTACAAGGCACAAGATATCGATGATAACTATAAGATGATCAGCGATGCCAAGTCCAAGACTTACAGAATAGATGACCGCAAGCTAGTCCAGATGGAAACCATGGCAACGAGGATGTTTTTGGTCTGAACAGGTCAAGAACAGTCAACTAAACTCTCCTCACGGTTCAGAGACTCTACATCTGAGGACGACAGGATGATTTACTCGGCCATCCTCATGCAGAAGAAGGACGAGCAGTTCCTAACGGATCACTTGACAGCACTATCCGCAGCTATAACTATGGCTCGTCGTCAAGGTCTCCTCGCCTCCTGTGATTGGGGTGATAACTTCACCACATCACTCCACACAGCCCCGTGGTCATCACCGTCAATCTTCGATGGAAACATAGACAAAGTCTCTAAAGAAGTCTCTAAAGACTCGAGAGGTACTCATGATAAAGTCTACAGATACGCAGCAAGCATCATCAGACAAACTTCGCAGAGGTACTCAGGCAAATCGAAGTTCTACAGAAAGCACGGGACAGGAAGATGGCAAGTGTAAGAGGAGCAAAAGAGTCTTTTCGCCGCCCTTACGGCAATTACAGGGGAGGATCTGGAAGAGGCAGGTCATCCAGAGGCTCCCGCAACTATAAACGATGAAGGACAGGCTCAGAACGACTGGAGTCTTCCACCCCCAGCCGTTCCAGTACAACCATCACAAGTGGGTGGACGCCTTCAACTGCATTGGGAAAACTGGGGATTCCTAGAGGATCCATATGTCTCCAACATCCTACAGCACGGATATCGAATCCAACTACAGGCCACGCCCCCCCGCTGACAGTCATCCCTCCGAGGTTCGACTTCCAGGCTCTACAGCTACCAAAGTTAAGAGAAGCGGTATCAACGCTCCTAACCAAGCAGGCCATAGAAGTACTGGACCTAGTAAACATCGAACCAGGCTTCTACTCCCCAGTTTTCATAGTGCCCAAGAAAAATTCCAAGGAAAAGTTTTCGCCTCATCTACAATATGAGCACGCTCAACAGAGACTATCTACGCTAAACCGCCAGCGCCGCGCATGATACACCTACCACAACTACGGCACATAATTCGTCCCAGAGACTACATGGCCAGCATAGATCTGCAAGACGATATCTACACATCCTAATACATCCCGACTCCAGGAAATACCTTCGGTTTACACTAGACGGGCTGCATTACCAATGGAAAGTACTACCTTTCCGAATCTCATCGGCCCCCTGGTTATTCACAAGAGTGACGAAACCTATCGCAGTGCATTCTATCTCGACGACGGGATACAAGTGGATCCAGATCCACAGCGTCTCAGACTACAGTTAAACTTCATCATCAAGCTACTAACACAGCTAGGATGGTTAGTAAATCTACTCAAGTCGGACATAGAACCTACGCAAGATCTGCAATTTCTAGGCATTCGATTTCTCACAGCGCAGAATCGTATCGTCGTACTGGAGGACCGATGGATCAAGATCCAACAGACAATCCCTCAAGCCTTACTCTCTCTGCTACCACTACGACAATGGCAGAGCCTGTTGGGTCTACTCACGTCAGCTCAAGACATGACAGTCAGAGGCAGACTACAGCTACGTCCGTTACAGGTCCTCATCAACTCTCATCTCGACGACCCTCAACCATTCAGTCTACCGAATCACGTCAAACCTCACCTACTATGGTGGACCAAGAGATCGAATGTTTCATGATGGAATCTGTTTAATAGAGCCGAATTGAAAACACATCTCTATGTAGACGCTGTCGCTCCAAGGTTGGGGAGCACACCTCCGCCAACAGGACGGCATCAGGGTTATGGAGCCAACAAGAGAGCAAACTACACATAAACTTACTAGAAATGCAAGCAGTAGTAAACGCCATACATCATTGGAGCAACTTACTAAAGAATGCCCAATTGATGATTCACACAGACAATTCAACAGTGGCGTTTTATGTGAACAAACAAGGCTCAACCACGTCCCCGAACCTATTGACTCTATGTTTTCAATTGTTCGATCTAATCGACAATCTCAACATACATGTCAGAGCATGTCACATTCCAGGAGCAAAGAATGTAATAGCAGACGCTCTCTCTCGGCCACACCTACCATCGCCGACAGAATGGATGCTCCATACAGAGATATTCGCACAAATTATCAAGAAAATAGGAGCTCCACTAATAGACTTATTTGCCACTCGCTTCAACAATCAGCTGACAACATTCGTATCACCAGTCCCAGACCCACTAGCATGGGCAATGGATGCACTAAGCATATCGTGGGAAGGACGCCACGCTGCCTCCCGCCACCAGCCGCTAATCCCACAGGTGTTACAGAAAATCAAGCAAACTCGGAGCCTCCAAATGATTTTGGTCGCCGCCCTACTGGCCAGCTGCAGAACGTGGTTTCCAACTCTTATTCAAGAAATCGGACAACAAATACTACAACTTCCAAAGCGCCGAATCTACTAATACATCCTCACACCAAACAAGCGCACGGAAAGCCAGAAGCATTCCAACTTCATCGCATGGATGGACTTCAAGAGAGGTTATGCAGAATGCAGTATGGACTGTATCAAGGCAGTCAATATTGTCTAAACAAGAGAGGTTATTCAGCCAGAGCTTGACCTCTCTGCTGCCTTCACACAACCCACCACCAACTCCTTCTGGAAAGCAGTCATGGGGCTCATTGGTTACAATCATTAGCAGAAGCAGACTGTCCTGTTAAACAATATCAACTCCACTTGCAACTTGTACGATGACAAGTGGCACAGTTTTGAAAAATTATGCTGCAAAGAAAGGATTTACAGCTAGATATGCTACACATCCACAAGTGGCTGACTACTTATGTTACCTACGACAGACTAAACGTCTAAAAGGCTCAACATTATCAACATATCTCACAGCTTTAAGCTCCGCCATAACTATGAGAACGGGTGTCAAGTTGACGAAGACCCCAGAGTTACTGGCCTTACTAAACGTGCATTCCAAGACTCATCTGGATTGGAAGATCAGAAACAGAGATTTCGTAAGCTCCAGCATGGGATCTAAATATAGTGTTCCAACACCTCACAAGTGAGGCATATGAACCACTGGAATCAACATCATTCGAATTTCTGACACAGAAAACATTGTTCCTGTTATCCCTAGCAACGGCAGCCAGGATGTCAGAGATTCACGCACTAGATTATGAGAGAACACGCTTTGATGACAATCATAACATAGTGCATATGGGACTACACTGGGATTTCATCGCCAAGAACCAGTTGCCAGGTCAACCAGACAGATTATTCCACGTCCCAGCTCTCTCATCAATTCTCGGACCTCATGATACACTGGATCTATCATTATGCCCAGTGAGAGCACTGAAAATATATCTACGGCGATCCAAACTGAGGCGACAAAAACTCAAACGATTATTCATCCCTCTATCGACAGCTACACAGACTGAAGTCTCACGCATACAAGTATCTCGATATGGATCAGAACTGTCATACTACGCGCCTACAAGGCTGCAGGACTCAACCCTCCAAGAGCATCTAATCCACATGAAATTAGAGCGCTAGCTTCAACACTTGCTCTACACGGCAATTGCTCTTTGAATACCATCATGGAGGGCTGCTTCTGGAGATCTGATATGGTGTTTGCCAACCACTATCTGAGAGATATCACCACCGAGGACGTCTCAGGTATTCACCATTTCGGTCCCATGGTCCTCGCACAGCAGTTGACAGTCCCTCGGAGAAGATAAGTCAATCTTATGAGATTTTTACTGCTTATTTCACAACAGTACTATATAGCTAATAACTCCACGAAGTTTATGCTATTATATATTTTAGCTTAAGTCCAATCATAATCTTAAGCTCAGTACTATGTCTGTTATATCATAACAGTATCATTAGCTAACAACTCTGTGAAGTTTATGCTATTATATTATCAAGCTTAAGTCTATCTTAGTCTTAAGCCTAGTATTCCTGTTGTAAATACTTTAGTTAACTTCTCCATTAGGAGTAGTTTGTTTATGTTTCTCATAATATCTATATATTGTAGTAACCCATATATGGCAGCTGATAAGCTTAACAGCAGGAATTATCAATTCAGTGCCTTTATGAAGTTCCCATAAGGGTTATTACAGTTATTACAGTTATCAGATCACTAATTATCTAAATCCAAAGTATTCTGTATTCCCACCTCCGTATCCATAGGATTCTACAAGCATTAAGCATGAGTCAGGATAAGGAAAAAATATGTAATTTTCTGAATAAAATTGATATTTTATACTTATCCTGACTCATGCTCTTTTGCTTGTCTTCTTCTTCTTGCGAACACAGTGGAACACTTGTATCTCCCAGTTGAAGCTCCCTTCAATGTAAAATCACTAATTAGTACTCACCAAGAGTTGTCTCCTTCCCAACCATTTGCGCGGAAACGAGGGCGCCACCTCTTGCCACATGCCTCACTCTCTCCTTATATAGCGAGCCCAACACTTGAATTTTCAGGGAAATCCAAAGTGTTATGTGGGGAGGATGGGAGAGCTTACCTCATGAGTCAGGATAAGTATAAAATATCAATTTTATTCAGAAAATTACATTATTATTTTTGACCAACCCCGATAGATTGTCATATTTTTGGTGATCTTCCCCTTTTTAACTCACACACTATAACAAATGGCAGGCTGATTCTGTAAAATATTACTTGAACTGTAATTCAAAACACTAGAAATAACTAGATGAGCTACAGAGAAGCATCATTGTATACTTGGGTTGACATTCAAGTGATGATGATGATGATATTCTGAAAGAATGGATGTCTTATCCACAGGTTGAAAAGTACTGTCGGTGTGAAGTGAAGGATTTCCCATTCCAGTTGTTCCCAGCACACATTGGGGCAAACATGAAATCCTATGCATGGAAACCTCTTCTCATACAGGTAAACCATTCCCTTGTAAATCTCTGTTCCAAGTATCACATACACATAGCTTTGAGTTCAGATACAACTGTACAATGGTTAATGTTAAATGGTCAAAATTAGCTTTATGTAAAGCAAACTTAAAATGAAAGGATGTGGTAATGTATCTGTCAGCTAATTTGTAACTGTACATTGCTGTATTTATAAGTTCAAGATGTGGTTACACAAGCCAAGTACGTTGTATACTAGACTCTCTACAACAATGGACATACACTATGTAGGGTATGCCATCTTGCATTGCATTTGATGATTTACACTGACCAAAAACATGATGTACATCATTTAATCATCACAACTGTAGAAGTCAGAAATTACTGTGGAATGGAACCAGACCAGTTTAGATTTTTTCAAATGAAAAACTTGAAATAATATTCTTTGTGAACACTGAACTTAATGCTGAGTATGTCTGTCCCCAGCTTGAGCTTCTGCAGCATCGCTATGTGACATGGATGGACTCGTCAATACGCTTGCTGCAGCAGGACTTTCACCGCACCTTCCAGCTCGGCATTAACAACGGCATCATGGTGGCGTATGGTGAATACTCCATGGCCCAGCAGACTGATGGAAGCATGTTCCGCTGGTTCAAGGAGGAGCCCTGCCTGTTCTCCAGCTACTACGAGGTGCAGCCAGGCTACATCATCGCCTACAGGAACAGCTTTACCATGGACAAGGTGATCCAGCCGTGGGTGGCCTGTGCTCTAAACAAAACCTGTATCCTTCCTGACTCAGCAGTGTATGACTGTGACAACTCAGTGTGGAAATACGGGAAATGTCATCGCCATGATCAGTCAGCCATCAGCATCATTCTCACACGGCTATTCCAGAAGTCAAGGGAGTTGCTTCATCTCACCAGGTTCACCTTGAAGAAGAGGGAGAACGTCCACTATTTCCCAGAAGAACCGTCATGGTTCTGCTGGTTGTGGTAGCTGGGGATGTCTATGTTCATGCACAACATACCATTTTACTCAGTATGTTGTTTGACATTTCTAGATACATGGTCAGAGTATTATGCAGATAGAAAAATACAACAATATTTTGGGAGGTTTTTGTTAATATGCTCAAGAGGTTGTTTCAAAGGATTGTCTCAGTGAGTTATAGTGTGGAATATTTTTATCATAATAAGGGTACAACATCATATTTTGGGGTTGGTAAAGCGGCACTATTACCCCCTATTTGTTTGGTGTTGGTGTTGGCCTAGCTGTAGAATTATGCAGAGATTTCTTTTATTGCCTTTTTCTTCATTGTTCTTCTCTGCATTTCAAGCTCACTATCCCTATATACAAGGAGAAAAAAGAAGATATTAGTCAACAAACAGACATAGTATATGTATGCTTCAACAACATCGATATTTTATCAATTGACATATCACTCTTTATTGCCATATATTACCAGAACATTCATATATCATTTTCAAGTGAATATTTTGTTTTGTGATCCATGTTGATGTGAATACCTGACCCGTCAGAACCTCCCTGGCCTAATCTGTGTGTAAGTATGCCTAGCAGTGTTGTTCTAAGTCTGAATGCTGAGTATTTGAGAATTGTTCTGAGAAAGTGATATATTAGGGAAGTTACGATGATTGTAATGTTTCAAATATTGAATTATGAATACCATGAATACCTGTGCACATATTCCATTCCTTGAACTTATTATATATGTTGTACCATGAATATATGCTCAAGAATGTCACTTCAGGGTAGTCTGTACAGAGCAGTCTTAAGACATGACAATCATATATTTGTGTTAAAATATGGGAGTAAAGTTACAATGACAGTAGGAACGTGATGGAATTGTTATTCCAAAGTAATTCAAAATATTATGTAGTCCAGCACTTCTTAAAGCCAGAAAAATAAATTACAACTTAATCACTAAAGTTCTGTGATAAAAGATACAAGATAAGAGCTTTTAGAAATTCATGTATCTCTGAAACAAGTGCTGATCTGAAACATACTCAAGCATAGTTTACAAAGATCTCTGAAACAAGTGATGATCTGATACATACTCAAGCATTGTGTACAAATATATCTGAAACAAGTGCTGATCTAAAACATACTCGTGCAAAGTGTACAAATATATCTGTAAGTGATGATCTGAAACATACTCGTGCAAAGTGTACAAATATATCTGTAAGTGATGATCTGAAACATACTCGTGCAAAGTGTACAAATATATCTGAAACAAATGCTGATCTAAAACATAAAACTACTCTCGTGCTAAGTGTACAAATATATCTGAAACAAGTGCTGATCTGCAAAGTGTAAAACATACTCGTGCAAAGTGTACAAATATATCTGCAAGTGATGATCTGAAACATACTCGTGCAAAGTGTACAAATATATCTGCAAGTGATGATCTGAAACATACTCAAGCATAGTGTACAAATGTTTCTGAAACAAGTGATGATCTGAAACATATCAATGTATATATCCCATGTGATGCCAGCTTGGTGCTGCTAGTAGTAAATCACAACTTACTGGGAACCCCTTCTTTTACTCCAGTTCTATTTTTACAAATGAGCAAAGAGATTTCTGAAGTGTTCTATATTTGTAGGTATCTTCCTGGACAAGCTGTCACCCCTAATGTGTGACAGAGTTTGTCCTTGTAGCCATGTGCCAACAAGGGTGTTCCAAAATCAGCTGTGGTGAAATATAAGATTATATATACATCAAACACCTCATTTAATTTGCACACAAACAACGAATGTTTTGTGGTTTTGTTTTTTCACATTGTATGATGAATGTTTATGATGTTGCATGAGGTTTTGTTCAGGTTCAACCTCTTGTTTCTAAGGCCAGCTTCCCATTCTCATTGAGCTGCCATGATGTGGCTGAGTTTAGATACTGTAAATCATGAAATTAATGCGAGCATTTTATTACTAGTGGTTAAGGCGTTCACTCGTCACGCCGAAGACCCGGGTTCGATTCCCCACATGGGTACAATGTGTTAAGCCCATTTCTGGTGTGCCCCACCGTGATATTGCTGGAATATTGCTAAAAGTGGCTTAAAACCAAACTCACTCACGCACTCACATGTAATTATCACTGGTTACAATCACTGGTCATTGTTTAAAGTCACTCAAGCACAACAGCCAGACCGGACATTCTCCAGCCACGTGTTTTGTGTACCTTGGTAGATGACTAGTGTCTTTCAAGTTGGATTACATTTATACATGTTGTCATAAGACAAGTAGTAGCAAGCAATCACGTGATCAAACATGGCAGCGTAATCAAAACACCGTCTGCTCATTTCCATTCATTGCTTAACAAGCTCAATTCAGGTTGTTTGATAAATAACAAGTGTAAAAAGAAAAAGATTCAGGGTGTCACATTTTATCATCAACACAGGTTCCTGAGCTCGCATTAATTTCGTGACGCATTTTAGACGAGACCCTCGCACTCACATTAAATTCGTGACGCATTAATTTCATGATGTACTGGATGATACTTCACACCATCTACTGTAACTACCCTGTCACAAATAAGTGGAGGTGGGTTGGCCGGTCATTTAAGATAAGACATGCATCAAGGTTTTCCATCCCACACTAAACTCACATGTCAGGGTATATAACTGGAACACACACTGTCTGTATAGCTGTTAGAATCCTGCTGTACTCCAGTGGAACATCAGTCTTGCAGCTACTGCAGGGTTGCATCACTTAATTTTACCAGGATCCGCTGCAAGGCAAGTTTCACCCTGATGATTATCCTGAGTTTACCCATGACCATAGGTTTCACTATGAAATGAAATTCAAATTGTCCTGAACAAGATTCATGTACTTGTTGACAGTGTATTCTCACTGTGCTCCTGTCTGCGGTAATTCAGTGCACGTTTATTGAACTTTAATAGCTGCTGTGTATATGTCCATACTGAAAATGTGGGTCTTCTAGTTGTGAATGTGTCTAGTCATTGTGTTTGTTTTGTCAAATATTTGATAGCATATTTTTGTCATTATTTCTGTGATATTTTTCAATATTTCTTTGCTATCACAGTTGAATTATGTGAGTGTTGATTATAGTTGCTCATAAACATCCCGCCATAATAACCAAGGTGCTTCTTCCACGCACATACTCCACCAGATTATGTTACAGCACATGTTATGTTACTCACACAGACTTGTTGGACTGTGACATAAGTAGAACTATACAACTCAAAACAAGTTAAGGACTACCAATTCTTTGTTCTTACTATTGTTCAGCTGTCATACCATGATGGAGGGGATTCTAATTGTCTTTTGAGTAGTATATGACATGTTACAGGCTAATAAGTTAACCTGAGGTAATGTTTTTCAGTTTAAACATTTGTACAGCCATGACATGTTTACTGTAGCTGACATAACATCATTGTAAAGGTGCAGGATCTAGTTGCTGACCATAATCAGAAACTGAGGTAAATAAGCTGTCAATTAGCAAATAGTTTGCTTGTGTGTGAAAAGAAACTGGGCTACCATCTGAAAGGAGAAACAATGCCTACACGCATTTCGGAGCAATAAGTGGTTCCTGCGGATTTTATCATGATTTCCAAATTACAAAGGGAACAGTAATAAAAGAAAACCATCAAAAACATATGAAAGGGGTTGACAACTTTACCTGTACTATGACTGAAATCACTGAGTGACTGTAGCTTGGAACTACCAGCTTATTGTTTTTCAGCTTAAATGTTTGAAATGTCACATTTGCATGATTTGCATGATAACTACTTGTGTTTATTTCTTGATGTTTTATCATTTCATTTTAATTTGCTTTTCAGCATAGCTTATTTGTGTCATCTTTATATTTTTATTGTGTGAAAATGATTATTTATTTGAATTTATAATTTCTGAAAACGACCTCAAGCACCAATTGTGAAAAACCAAAAAATTACATTTCCACTCATTCAATTCATTCTCCCCAAAGATTAATTGTGGTACATTTGTCATTGCTACTGAAATGGTGATCAAGTTTTAATACTGTAGTGTCACGTGTGTAGGCAACAGGGCCGGTGTCCTCCCATTTCTGAGAACTCCCAGTTGTGAGACACATTAATTAATGGTTGAGTGCACCTAGGTGGTGTTTCCACATCCCTACAATGCAAGTGGGAACAACCCTGTTGTTGAAGAGTACCCACAGGAGACATGGTTCATTGATGAGTTAATTAACACAGTTATTGTTACATTATTTAAACACATAAATCTGAGTAGGTATATTTATTTTTCTTTCAAATGATCACGTTACCTACACAAAGTGTTTATCTTTTAATAACATTTACTTGAGTAGGTTAATTAATTTATCTTATAAAGTTTCATTAAGTTACCTCCAGAGGAGCCAATCTGGTCAATTTGTCAAAAGTTGGGGTTAGGCTTTACAGAATGACATGAAAATGTAGAACATTTCTATTATTTATAATAAACCTGTTTACATATTTATGTGTTAGGGGGCAAAGGTGGTGAAGAAATATTACATTTATTATATAAATTCAAAATAAAGTGGGGAGGATGGCATAATAGGATAGAGTCCTGATGCCAATTCCTCCAGCCCACTCGTGTGAGTGACCCGGTCTCTAACAGTAGAAAGTTTTGTTCTGATATCCATCTTGTGAACTAAGAAGTGACAGTAACAATTTGCACAATTTGTGTCACAGAATAGTTAGTATCAATGGAGCACTTGTACTTGATCATGATCTAGAATTACGACCTCTTTGATACATAACAAACAGTAACGAAGAAAAACAAACTAATTTGACATCAGTTGTTTCACTCATGATTTGTACTGTTTAGTCAAGGCAGGCTGAACGTCAGTAACAGCTAGTTTTGTCTCCTTAGTCCATGAATAGTATAAACTATTGTAATAAGTATTGGAGGTTTCTATACCAATATATGTATTTATGGATACTGATCTGATAGAGCACAGACATGTATCATCAAGTAGAAGAATTCCTCTCAATGTCCTGACATCCAAACCTGTATTGGTAGATCTGTTAAGATGATGAAAATGTCTTTCAGTGAAGCTTGATTCCATTTTCAGGGTATATGAGCGTGACAAGTTGAGGACGTATTTCCTTGTTTTCATGTCCTTTGTCTGGTGTTATGTGTCAGCAAGACTGTTAATGTTGAGGATCCAAGGTTTCATTTTGCACCATGGTCCTGGCACTTTTCAACATAAGGAAGTGGTATTTGTTCCAACCAAACAAGATATTATCAAGAGTGTATGGACTACTTATGTCATTTTACTGTTGTGTACTTTTTAGAAATTTTCTAACACTATTCTTTTTTTAACACTTTACAACATTCTGAAGATTTTTAGGAAGGTTTGCTGTTTAAGGTAACACTATTTTCATGACTGTGTACATTGACATTTGTCCACCTTTTGGTTTTACAAATAAAAAGGTTCAAGTTGAGTTTTTGTTGATTTGTCTGTAACATGACACCTGTGCGACCTGCCATATGCTTGATTTTATCATATAATGAGTACAGAGTGGGTTTCTCTGCAGGGTAAAGCCAACTGATTTTTAAAAAAGGCATCCATTGGGGTCATAAATGGATAAAGAAGTAATATGAAAGGTCAAGTGTATGTACTCGCCAAGGCTGGCTAATTACAATGTTTATTCCCAATACAGGCTAATCACCCGGTCAACACACCTGAGTGATAACCTCTCTGTATCCATTGTACACTTGTAACAAACATTAGTACCCATTCACAGGATTACTAATGCATTTACATACATTACTCAATGTTTCCTAAGGAGCATTCTTTTTATAACTCCAGCATATAATGTGGGGGGATACAGTCAATGCCTCATCTGCCTGTCTCTCCATCCGTCCATCCATAATCGTTTCGTTTCTGGAGCATAACTAAAAGACGTTCAATATTTTTCAACAATAATAGGTAGATATATCTAACAAAACCTAAAGTGGTGCCTTTTGCTATTTACAGACTTTTGGGATCTTTAAATTTCTTGATTTCCATGGAAACAATTTGGACTTGGTCTCAAAAAGGGATGGGTTTTGTTTCCGGAGCATAACTGAAAAAAACGCTCAATATCTATCAGTAAAACTTGGCAGATATATCAAACAGCTCAGTAACTACTTTTGTATACAGACGGACAGATTAGACAGAAATTCTCTCCTCAAGTTGGACTTTAAGTAACTGTCAGATGATTTGTTCTTTCAAATTTATCGTGGCCAGGGGGATTTGTCATCTTCTCCAAGCTGATAATGAGATTATATATTTTGTTTCTTAGCAAATGTTGAGTGGTATGTGCTTCATGATGTCTGCATACACAGGACAGTGAATGTTAAAGGTGAACCAGTGGGGGATGCACATAATACCAAAGTCAGGAAGTCACTTGGACTGGGGCACAGTTTACATGTAGAAATTAAGGGGAGGGTGACACAATTTGACCCCAGTGAAACTTATTCATCCAGCTGCACATTTAAGCAACTCATATCTTTGGCCAGCTGCATGTTTCAGATACTGATCCATCTGGCCAGCTGTATGTTTCAGATACTGATCCATCTGGCTGGTTGTATGTTTCAGATACTGATCCATCTGGCCAGCTGCATGTTTCAGATACTGATCCATCTGGCCAGCTGTATGTTTCAAATACTGATCCATCTGGAAGGTTGTATGTTTCAGATACTGATCCATCTGGCCAGCTGTATGTTTCAGATACTGATCCATCTGGCCAGCTGTATGTTTGTATGTTTCAAATACTGATCCATCTGGAAGGTTGCATGTTTCAGATACTGATCCATCTGGAAGGTTGCATGTTTCAGATACTGATCCATCTGGCTGGTTGTATGTTTCAGATACTGATCCATCTGGCCAGCTGTATGTTTCAGATACTGATCCATCTGGCCAGCTGTATGTTTCAGATACTGATCCATCTGGCCAGCTGTATGTTTCAGATACTGATCCATCTGGCCAGCTGTATGTTTCAGATACTGATCCATCTGGCCAACCGTATGTTTCAGATACTGATCCATCTGGCCAGCTGTATGTTTCAGATACTGATCCATCTGGCCAGCTGTATGTTTCAGATACTGATCCATCTGGCCAGCTGTATGTTTCAAATACTGATCCATCTGGCTGGTTGTATGTTTCAGATACTGATCCATCTGGCCAGCTGTATGTTTCAGATACTGATCCATCTGGCCAGCTGTATGTTTCAAATACTGATCCATCTGGCTGGTTGTATGTTTCAGATACTGATCCATCTGGCCAGCTGTATGTTTCAGATACTGATCCATCTGGCCAGCTGTATGTTTCAGATACTGATCCAGCTGGTTGTATGTTTCAGATACTGATCCATCTCTTCCAGCTGTATGTTTCAGATACTGATCCATCTGGCCTGCATATATATATTGTACCCTGGATCACCAACTACGTGCACCTTGAAAGTAAAGTATGTTCATGCATCTTAATGCATTGAATACAAGTAAGAACAAAACAAACACACTGACAAATAGTGTTTTTACTCATCAATACAAAAATACAATGTCAGTCATCAAATCTGGATATTTGCACACAAGCTGACCTGGATAAGTTCCAAATAGCGATTATAGCATGACAGCTGTCATGAGTTGTCATGGTGGTATGACACGACAGTCTGGAGTGTCTGTGTTATGGAAGTTACTAAAGCTGTAGCGCTATAGTCAATGTGTGAAACACATTCTCAGGAATATAAAATAAAGCTGTATATCATGTTGATGGTGTATCACAGTCACACAAAGTATCACATTGTACACACAGTGTACCACAGTCTGCTGATACGGTTACTGCATGTAGTCCTGCTCCTTCTCAGCATATGTCTCTAATGCATTCTGTAATGCCTCAACAACTGTCACTGTAGCAACAAGTTTTAGTGCTGTGTCTTCAAAGTCATTGTTTTTCAGATGGCTGCAGATGTCTATCCAGTTGTCAGTGGAGGTCTCGGAGTCGAGAAACACGGCATTGAAGAGTGAATCCGTCTCATCACCAACTGCCGAGAAGCAAGGGTACACAGTGTACAACATCAGAAAGAATGCTTTAGATTTTACCCTGCTAACAAACTGATAACAATGTCATGGTCTTGGGGACTCAAACAATTCGTATATTGAAAGGAAGAAGCCTGCATTTTTCCAGTTTGAAACACTTTTGCCACTAGGCTACATCACTGGCCCAATTATAACAAGAATAATCTGAAAAGTGAGGTTCTCAGAAACACTTGGTCTGGATTAAGGGGGTTCACTGTATTTTTTAATCATTACTGTACGTGTATAACAGTTAGGTCACATGCAACCAAAAAATCAAACATAATTAAAACACAATTATCACTTATTCATGACATATAATATACATTGCTGGTTATGAAAAAACATAAAAACAAAATTATAAGCGTACAATCGCAAATCAAAAGTGCAATATTTTGTACTTGGGTTTACTTCCCAAGAAACGAAGCAGCCGGGATAACGAACCCAGTCAGAGCGGGTGGGTGTGCACTCAAGTGTAACGGCTGGTTCATTTGCAGATGCCTTCACGGCTCATTGTGTGTGTATATATAGAGATGTTGGGTTTTGATGCTCATTTTTTGTGTATAACATTTTGCAATCAACAGACATCATAGCATGTCATGTGTACAAGTATCACACCTGCCTGTCTGTGTAATTACATAATGTGACAGAGACCGAACTATATCACAGTTAGAAATTCTGTCGACGCTAAATAATGACATTGCTTTTAAGTATCGAACTGAGAAAGTGACTCGGTAAGAAGAACGTGTGGTGAAATAGACAAATGAAATTATATAAACAGTTAAATCGGTAATCTACTGTAATAACATATAAAAAGCTCGCGCCTGTGAAATATCAACAAAACATTAGAAAATAGCTCACACCAAAGCCTTCACCGAATATTCACCGGACAACCCGTTTCCAAGCTCCGCGAACCTATTTCACTGCGAATGTGCTATAAGCGCAACCCAGCTGTTGAAACCACTTCAATTCCCCCAAGCGCTTGGGGAAAGTTAGTGAATCGTTTGAACTACGATTTCGCGCGGGTTTTTTCATCGCCTTATTTTTCAACTTTATAAGTTGAATTTGCATTTTTGATGATTTGTTTCGGTAAGTCCATACCGAAAGGTATCAGAATCTGCAAAGTTGTGTTTTACGTTGCATGTGACCTTTAATTATCAGGATGGAAAATTGAGTAAGCATGAAGTCAACACTTGGAGAAGTAAAAACGCTACTCTGTTTATCTGTAAGCTTCAAACACATGTAAAGACAAACATAACCTCTTGTTGAACTTACCCTGCAATGTTCCCTGTTTGAGGTCCTGAAGACACCGGGCCATCAGATCTGTCTGACCCTTGTTGACCAGTGTCCGAAGCACAACACCAAGAGGCAGCAGAGGTCCAGACTCTTGGGCAAAGGGCACCTGCTCCACCAGGGCATGGACAAGCTGGAGGGAAGGACAGGCTGCCAACATAGCTATCAGGTTTTCTGTGGACAAGACACCCTTGTTGCGTGAGAACTGGATCCCAGCATGCACTCTGCCCTGTTTCAGGAGACACAGGACACTGTCTCGGTGTGCCTGAAGACGCATGAAGACACTCTGGGCCAAAGCCTGGCAGCCACATTTACAGGGGATTGTACATGAGCAGTGGTTGGCAATGTGGTGACCAACATCCAAAGACAGGGTGAGTCTGAAAATTACAAAGTTTGTGGATATTGTTTGTTTAAGATAAAAATGTATTTTCAAATAAACATTTACCGTATATCGCGAGTGACACCACATATAAGACAAAACCCTGTACAAGCCTTCAAAGTCAACGCTATATACCTCATCAGACAAAGAGAGTCTATTTCCTGTAATTTAATCGCCAATTATCCACGAAAAAGACAATAGGGATTTAAGTCTGGTTCCTAAGTTGAAAATTTCCATTTTATCATGGTGCATCAGTTTACTTAGCCAAAGCAAAAAAGTGACACTTGTCACAGATGTTTCTTTCCAATAAGCATTACGCCATAAGTATAACTGCAACACAGCCAGGACAATTATCAGATCAATCAGGTCAGGTCCACAACCAAAAGATCCTGACATCTAAGGAACACAATTCTGCACAGAGGACAGTGTCATCTTCAATCACTGGTACACTGGTACACTGGTAATCACTTTTACTTAACTGTCTAAAGTCCTACTAACAAAATGTCCAACATGAAAGGCATGCTCCTTTACCTGTCCTGAGCCAGCCAGTGGTAGAGCAGGTCCAGCTTATTCTCACTTAGGGCACACAGTACACAGTCTAAGGACAGTGCCTCGTTTGGCCGTGACCCAGCCTCCTTCACTGATGACATCAGGGCATCACAGAAACTCAGCAAAGGAGTCCTCCCAGGAAACTTGCCCTTTACCTCTGAATAAATAGATACACCATCAGAGGTGGATCCAAGATTTTGAAAAGAAGGTGTGCATCAAAAACGATGACTTCCTTTTGATAAGTAGTATGCCTTGCCACATTGAAGTATATATTAGGAAGAGTGGGGTCTGACAAAATATTTCACAGTTTTTCTGTTTTGTAACTTTACATAAGCAGTGTTTGATACAAACATATTTCTTAGTCCATTACTTTATAACAATGTGCTCTTTCTAAGCCATTTCTGGACAAATTATACTCCTCAGAGAGTTGAGAATGCACACTGATCTATTTACATGGGAAATGCTTCATAAACGAACAAGTCACTATAGAGTGTAAGGAACATTATATGATCAACTTGTCCACACATATATATAGAAGCAATACTTGATTCAAACGAAGATCTGTGTAACAAGTACACACCACCAGGCTAACCTAAACTTATTTCTCTGTAAGATAGCATTAAAGTCTATGTCTCTGTCACCTCATATCAGTTGTAAAACTTCTTTCATTACGGTACAAGAGAAACTGAAAGCTGAAGCTGAATGATCTCTGAAGACATGTAGTTACCCCTGAACTTGACCAGAGTGGCCCTTGTCCTCAGAATACCCTTTGGACTGTTGGCAGCATGGACAGCTGCCTCCTCAAACTTGCCATCCTCAAATAACTCATTAAACTTCTCAATATACTCCAGCATAATCTCAGCCTCTTTCTCCTTGTTGGGATCATCTTCCTCAAACGTTGTGGTTGTAACTGTTACATTGGATGGAGTCACTTCCCGATTCAGACCATCCCCTCCTTCTGTGGATACAGGTTCTGGGACAAGAATATCAAAGTATATCGAACCTATGCAATTGGAATTCATTTTCAAAATTGGGAAAACCTATATATATGCAGATGTGAAGGTCTTCAAATTCATATTTATTTTAAATTTTCTTATAAAGATTTTATAGCGGATTTTGTGAATGGTCACAAGAAATTTAAGAAAACTAGTAGTTTAGAATATCCACAAGGAATTACGGATTATCTTTCCTGAGTGAATGTATGGTGTTAATCCAGAGTCTTGTGAGAAACTGACAGCCTTCATTCACAAGGGACAGATAATCTGTAATTCCAAATTTGAGGTTTGTTATTTTATGTATTACATTTTCAGAGTTAAAATGAAGATAAAACATGAAATGTCAACCCCAAGGATAAACTTCACTGAAGGCACTAAGTTTTACAGATGATGTAATCAATTAATTTACACCATGAACAATGACATCATGTATTTTTCTCAACAATGAAGCACCTTGAATCACTAAAATGTACATGCGAAAATATCAGAAATATATTATGAGTACAAACAATCATTCTACCTTTAAGAGTAATATTTCATTATTAACCTTAGCATCCTATTTCACTATTGATATAAGCATACCAAATAATGTCCTTCAGTAAGTAGACACTCCATTAGCATTTGTATTTTATACCTTTTGCTCTAGAACTTTGAAACTGTGCAAATGCCAACATGACTGCATCTCCAACTGTCTGGTGTGGAGGTTTGACTCGATTGTATGCCTCAGCAGCTTCCAGTGCAATCTTCAACCTCATCCTCTTCTCTCGGTACACCTGACTCTGCCACAGCAGGTGATCTCTATGTGCAACCTTGTTGTCCAGACCCCCCTTCAACTCCTGTTTGTGGGTCTTGCTGACATACCGTGTCTTGTAACAGATGTTGAGTTCCTTCATCTGTCGCTCAAGCTTCTCAAGCTTACGGTACAGCACCTTCAGATCAGTTGACTCATCCAAGGTTAGGCCTGGGGAGGTTAATATCAGTGAGTTTCTAAGTATGGTCTCATAAAGCATTATTTTAGGTGGATTATGCACAGAAATGGCTTCACAAACTGATGAACCGAGATTAGCCATGATGAGCCGGTTACTACTTTACCTAACTTCCCGAGAGGTAATGTTAGTTTCACTGAGATTGCTGATGGAGTTTTTCTTTTCAATGCTGTAAATAGGGAATGTTTTCTGCCATGAAATAGTAAATTGCTGACAATAGTCTCAACTGGGTCTAGAAAGTTTTGCAACACTCTGTTGTTGAGATTACCAAAGCTGCTTTTGCACCATCCTCGATAATCTCCAGGGTATACGTTACGATAACTCCCCACTATACCCTGGACGCATCTGGCTTCCGATGGCTCCCTTGGCCCGATGATTTTATTACCTCCAAAGATGGCTGGCTCGCAGCATTCTCACAGTAGCCAATCAGCTAAGAATACATACAGACAAATGTACAGGTCTGAAACTTTAAAAACTATATGCCAGTGTCAACAAAGATCTCTGCATCAATTGTGCAAGTTTAATCGGGTTAGATAATTTAAGAGGTTTGTTCGCTCAACCTCCAGTTTGTCATAGATAGTAGCCAGGTAATAAGCATCATGGACAGGGGACTAATAGTCTGTCATACAGTCCCTGAAACAAATGTATCCAATACAGCCCATGGAAGAAAGTCGCTGGTCTCCTTTATTTACTATATTTTATGAATATATTTTAAGAACCCTTTATTTACTATTTTTTTGAAGAACCGTTTTTTTTCTGTAAAATATGTCAGAGACCAGATGTTAGTCTAAGTAACTACTTTTGAACAGACATGTGATGGTGTAGTTGACAAGATAGGTCTGAGTAGCGTGTTTATCTAACAGTACTGACTGGCTGATGGTTGATATATGTCTGAATATAAAGAAATGTGCCTCCTTTTGCTGTTTTTCTTATTTTTGTGGGTGCTGACAAAAGATTACTCTGTCATGAAACTATTGCAATTTTCATAATACTTTCCTGTTTGCTAAACTTTCACACTGGCAAGACTGTCCAAATTTACAGTACATATGGTACAGTATAATGAACAATATTGTAAAACATACCTGGAATCTGTCGTCTGTCTTTCTTGAGATGTGGTTTTGGAATCTCCTTCTTCTCTTCTTTCTTCTCTCTCTCCATACATGCAGCTTTTAGCTGAGCCAGTTCAGCTTCCAAACGGGCATTGTCCTTTTGTACAATGGAAATTCTGAAACAATTACATGTATAAAAACTTAATCATCCTCCTAAACTGTACTTTCCACATGTACAATGTTCATATAGTACTACATCCACTAACCAGTCATCTGTAATGGAAAACAGACTAGGCACATATGATGCACATTGTGAATACCTTTCTTCCAGCTCATCAGCTCGTTTCTTATAATTGCTGAATTGTGGAGGGCTCTGAGGCCATTGCCTTGAGTTTCTCCTGAAGAAACACTGCTTCTCTCTGACCCTTCCGTATGGCACCAATTGTGTCTTCATACTCCTTCTTTATATCAGTCAGTAGAGGCTTGTAAGCTACCACATGCTCAATAACCTACAAAGCAATGAAACAGTTGCTTGGTAATAGTCAGACATACGTTCAACATTTAACATGTTTAATTCATGTAACTAACATTATGGAATGTAAAGTTTCAAAAGAAGACTGTGAATGAGTGAGTTTGGGTTTTAGCAATATTCCAGCAATATCACGGTGGGGGACACCAGAAATGGGCTTCACACATTGTACCCATGTGGTAAATTGAACCCGGGTCTTCAGCATGACAAGCAAATGCTTTAACCACTAGGCTACTCCACCGCCCCAAAAAGACTGTGACCTTTCATTTGTTGTTCAACATTTCCAACAGGGTAGGATATGATAGATGATAATGTTATATTCAGCAGTGAGAAATAATGTCAATTCAATAAAGTACAACACCTACATATTTGAATCTTTGATTTTCTTGAATGCATACACCACAGTCAGTACTTAACACTGCTGTAAGTTGCTGACAGCAGAATGATATAATTACCAAAATTTCTGATGAACTTTGGTCCCCAGGTCCAATTTTTCTGAAACTCAGCATATCATTTCCCCAGGTAAAGGGCCAGTTGACCCTCATGATGACATCCTTACAAGGCTCTGCATATTTCTCTTACCTTATTAAAGACTCCTTTGTACACAATGTAACGTTGTTCTTCATTGTCAGCTTGTATTTTGCCCATCTCTCGGTCAATGTATGAGCTGAGTTCATGGAGGAAGTCCCGGTCTGCCTCACTTGTGATGATTGGAGGCAATTTGGAAAATGCTGACACAGAACTCACTGGTGTTGGTGATCGACTTGATGACATTCTATATTGATAATAGTGAGTGAGTTGAAAAGTACAAGAGCTCCAAAATATCTGTTAGGGTAGATCTGTGTTACTTAATGATGAATGCAGTTGTTAGACAATTACCCTTTGTACAAAATTATCTTGCTGATTCAGAGGTGAGCATGTAGAGATAGGGAATTCACACCAAATTCGCTTCCAAGAACTTTGTCAGAGACTACATGAATGGCTAATTTCAATGGGAGACATTTACCTGCCTTTCATGGAAATAGGTTACTGCCAACTCATACACATTACGACCGAAAACTCACTGATCAATTTAAAAGAACATATGATTTGCTGTGGCATATAAAGACAGCGACTGGCATGGGAAATAAATTGCTTAGATATCAAAAGGGGCTGAAAACCTGTCAAGATTTGTATGTTCCCGATTCTAACTAAAATAGTACAAACAGACATTACATCCCTGGGAGACTTACATAAAAGAATTATTGTGGATTCACTGGTTCTCGCTTAGGACAAAATATCCTATCACTTCGAATTGTATTCACAATCTTGACAAACTGTAAACGTTTTCCGAAAGCTGTCAGTGGTGATTTGTTTGACATTGTCGGAATAATATGGTCGTATATATGACTTATAATATGATGGTGCGGGAATATCACTTGAATGAGTCGACGTATACCTTGCAGATTTATTTATGCTGGTCTAACAGTAACTGTCAGCGTGCCTCATTCAGAAAATCCTCACTTGGTCGCCATTTGTAAACAAGGAGTTGTGAGGAAGTGACGTCATATCCGGGCACTTTCAAGATGGAAGAAATCGGCATCGTTGTTCCTGAAAAGGTGCGTTCAAATATATACAATTTCTCTCGTTTATACCCAACATATCAACACGAAACTATGAGATATCAATTGCGACTGTCTAGGACGTTAAATATATCCCGGATAAAAACGGCAGATAAATTCAGTGTTAGTGTCAACGCATGGTGTTTCTGTCATGATTTACTCAAAAATTGCTGTATCACTCATTCAGAGACGGAAACTGTTTTATGCCTGTCTGGGTATATTTTTAGTGTTTGGTTCCAGTCTGCTTGAGTTTGTTTTGTGATTGGTGTACATTATGCTTTCTTGTGTCACACTCAGGCTATTTGTAACGCAAATATTGCTGAACAGATTGGTTCTCTGTTAAGACAATGTTATTGCACCTGCATCAAATCAATGCGTGGTGATCTGGTTAGGCTGCATATAACTTTACAGGTTCAAATCGATACTTCTTCATATTTCACAACCGATAGTTCCACACAGGTTCATGCAGCACACGTTTGACTAATTCATGTAACCTACAATGTCACTATTATTTCAGTATTGATATAAATATATTTAATGATGAGAGTTGAGAGTGTTAGGTTTTCAGTACACAATTTTTGGTTCACCATCATGGCAATGCTGACAACAATTTTATTTACGGACAATGTGCCATGGCATGGAGATCATATGTTAAGGGATCCTGAATAATTTGCAACCATGTTACCCAGACTGGCCTACATAAACATCATGGCCATGATAATACAGTCAGACCTCATTTATCTGAACACTTTGGTTTTTTTTATTGAATTGTTCGAACAAACAAATCATTCGGATATCTGAATCAGGACCTAGGCGGTCAGCTACAAGTAAAAACAAAACCACTAAAAATAACATTGAAACATAACTAACAGCTCCAGGTTTGTGAGGTCGCCAACATTTTCAAATCCATTGCATCCATTGGCTGAATTTGTGCGGTTGTGTTGGGTGGCAGGAAATGGACGTCACGCTGGTCAGTTTCAGATTTTTACAGTTGTGACTAGCCGCATTGTCAACAAGCAAAATGACCCGCCTTACACGTTACCTCATCTGTCGATCAAAAGACTGCAGCCAATCACGAAACAGCTCTGCTGCCATCCACGCCTTTGTGTTGTTTCTATATCTTGCATACACCTCCGTCTTTATTTATGCTTACTCAATCAATGACCATGATGACTCGAATCAGTGTCAACTCAATGTCAAAGTTTAATTGTTTCTTCTCTAATTACCCTACACGCCCTGTGATAAATATTCAATAAACAATGAAATGGTCAAACAGATCAAACAATGAATTAACTACCAGCCAGCACAATGTTTTGACACGTGATAGACAAGATAGCACTGTTGAGGAGCAGTAAACAGCAGACGTCTTGTCGTCAACAGCCTTGGTGTTCGGATATACGAGGCAAATTTGTACATATTTTGCTGTTTCGTTACCGAAATTGACCGTTCGGATACGGAAACCGAACATTCGGATATACGAGGTAAATTGTAACTAGAAAATTTCGTGAAGAATGTTCGGAAACCGAGGTATTCGTATATCTGAAGTTCGGATATACAATGTCTGACTGTACTTGAATGCCTTTGTTGTTAATGTTAAACACATCTTAGAGGATAAAGGCATATATTCTACCATTGCAATACCCCATAAGCTCTTTTCATGATTTAGAGTTATATGTGAACATGATGATAGGAAATGTCTTAACATTTAAATATGATAAATGACTAGAACCTAAACATTCCAAAGCAGGGATTTATTTAGGATTCTAAATGAAGTGCCAAAAACTTGATATATTTATAACAGCTGTTTAACATTGTTCTAAAGAAAAAGGATTTTTTTAATTAGATTGTTACTTGCTTACTTTTGAAACAGAATTTAATCTGAATATTGCTTATTGCTTCATATGTTCATAGTTTATGAAATCTTGTATCATGTATATTGAAAAATACCAATCGCATCTGAAATAAGAAGCTCCATTCATACTTTCTTTACTCACACTAATTTCAACATATATAAACCTGACTGGCAGATATGATTTAAGTGAACATCTGTGAATAATTTCATCTGAAAATGTCCAGTCAACAACAACATCAGTGACGCAACAACAACATCAAACAAAGGATGGGTCACTTGCAGTCAATATCGTGTGTGTCCACCGTGCGCTGCAAGACATGCTCGCAGTCTTTGGGGCATTGAAAGACACACATTTTTCAGGAACAGCTGTTGGATGGTCTGCAGCCTCTGATGGCCTGTGGTCTGATCATGACACCACCCCCTCCAAAACGATCATGTTCAAGGACACAGTTTGGCGCAAGTCTTTCTCCTTTACGTCGATAAAACTGTTGACGTCCATCTGCAAAGGATAAGTTAAACCTGGATTCATCTGAAAAAATGACATCTGGCCATGTCCTGTTGCCAAGATTGGCCCCATTTGCTGCCCATCGCTGTCTGGCAAGTCTGTGGCGATGCAATAAGGTTGGACCACGATACGGGTGACGACACCGGATGTTGAAGGCAGCAAGCGCCCTTGCACCTTTTGGGTGCTGAAATGACGTTGACTTGTCCCAATTGTCCTCCTTGCCTAATCATCAGCTGTTTGGAACCGATTTAGCAAGTGTGAAACTTCGGATATTGCGGTTTTGTCGAGCTGTTATCACAGGTGGTGCACCAGGTCGTAACGATCAGCAACACTTCCGGTAGCCGAAAATGTTGTCTGAGTCGACTTACAGTGGATGGATGCACATTAAAGTGCCTGGCAATCATCACATCTGAAGCACCTTGGCTGACCATACCGATAACCTGATTCCTTTCGTCTTGTGTCAAGTGTGGCAATTTCTCAAAGTGATTGAGTTCCACAATTCCTTGTGCTTTTACAGGGCCTGGGTGCAGGTAATTCATGTGCACAACGTGTTTCATGAATGTGGTTGTGTTTACGAGAAATGTCAAAGGTTCAGTTTTAAGTATCAAAGTTCATGTGAGAGGAATGCTCCGGGACTCGAACTCGAAATGGGCCAGAATAACAGCCTTTTATCCCTACATCCTCTGTATCTCAGGAAAAAATCTTCAATAGAACTTTTGTAAGTTTCAGGACAACAAATACCAATTGCCTTTTTAATGGCTTACAGTATACATTTAACATTAATTCACAGGAGGATTCACAACTCACAGATTCTCGTCCAGGGACATCATCTGGAATCTCTCATGTGGATCCTCTATCACTTGACTTAGAGGACCTCTATGTTAAGTACAAAGTAAGTATTCCGATTTGTTGTAACACATGTTGAACTTTAAATATAGAGCTCAGTCAGTGTCACACATATCATGCTCATGGTCTAACATAAAAGCTTCCTACTCAAACAATCAAAATAGCTTTACCTTGTATATCACTGTTGATTTAAATTGTCTTTAATATCAGTTGAACCTACTTGACATTCAATAGGAAAATGTTTACAGGACTTTCAGCAATGTTCAGTGGCTGGTCTTTAGCCATCGAGTCTTTGTTGAAAAAACACCATACTAAGAACACAAACATGATGAAGAATGAGATAGTATATCCTGTGGGTTTTTTCACATCAAGTAAAAACAAGTTTAACCATGTTAACCGTGAACATATTCAAGTGCATCAGTATTTTCCCACCTTTTGGGGGTATTTCTGACAGAATTACCAGTACATGTAGAGTTAGTCTTGTGTTTGTTTTGTAGAAACTAGAGCGCCAACTTGAGTTCCTTGAGGTTCAGGAGGAATACATCAAGGATGAACAGAAGAACCTCAAGAAGGAGTACCTCCATGCCCAAGAAGAGGTTAAGCGGATACAGAGTGTTCCTCTTGTCATAGGGCAGTTCTTGGAGGCTGTTGACCAGAACACAGGCATTGTTGGGTCCACCACAGGTGCTGTGTGATGTCGCTTGGACAAACAATTATTCACAATTTATTTGAAAAAATTACCTATTTGAAGTTTAGAATATCGTATTGTTGCTGTAATGCATTAACTAGGCTGTCAAAGGGTTATATGCTCCTGCTACTTGGAAGTCAATCTGCTGATGTCAGATTCCAATAATAGCTCACTCTTAAGACTAGAGACTATTGATAGGACAAGAATAGGACATATCATTAGTATGTTCTTTTAAACATGAAGGAAAAGGGAGAATTTGTACTTGGACAGAATGGTATGGTCTCAAATTTAGGGCTGCAACGATTTACCCTGATCTCGATTCGATTTGATTTTCGATATTGGACCCTCGATTCTATCATTTTCGATTCGATCCTTCATACAAGTAAAAACATCAGATTTCATTTAACTCTCAGAGTCGTGAAATCCATTGTCAACTTGGCGATGTCTACCAACACCACTTCTCATTGGATAAAATTATTTCAATAAATTTTGGAAAAAAATGACAAATTTTGTATGGTACTGTAGAGTAAGGGAAGTAACTCTGGTTCATTCATTGTACAAAACCAGAAATGGATTTTTCATGTGTACCAAAGTTAAGTAATCATGCTATGTTATTATGTTTTTTATGGTATGTAGACAATGGTAGGCATGCTCCTTTTTAGGTGACAGAATGGAAAACTACTGATTATGGCCAATGATTGATTGTCTCTTGATATTTCCTAAAACCTATTATTCATTAATGACCAGGTTCCAACTATTATGTTCGGATACTGTCCACGATTGACCGTGAGCTACTGAAGCCGTCAGCCAGTGTGGCCCTGCACAAACACAGCAATGCCCTGGTGGATGTTCTGCCCCCAGAGGCTGACTCCAGCATCACAATGTTACAAGCTGGTGAGTAGTGAATTTATCTTGTCACAATCATCCCTTCAACATTTATATCAGAGGTACAGATAAGCTGCGTATCTGCGTAAATTACGCAATTGTTTTTGGGAAAACTCAATTCCTATTAAGTCTATTGCGTACAAGCGTACAAGAACGCTTGA